CTTACCTCTGGAGAGAACCAAGCTCAGGGAGACAACACTGAGAAAGAATGGCCGCAGGGAACACCACCCAGTTGAGAAAACTCACTGGTCCTGTCCTGGGATCTCTGTCTCTATTGCCCTGGGAGCAATAGAGAGACACACACTCTTTCCCTAAGAGGCCGGGGCCGGCTGGCAGCCATGCCTCCCTCCACGCTTCTGAAGTAGACTGCTGAAGACTCGGTGCTGGATGAATACGCTTCTCAGGGCTGGGGAGATGGCTCAGCTGATTAAGTGCTTAAAGGAACTGAGTTTGATCTCCAGAACCCACATAAAATGCTGGGCATGGGCCTAATTAGACAGCTTGGTTGCCGGGCGTTGGTGGCGCACGCCTTTAATCCCAGCACTCGGGAGGCTGAGGCAGGCGGATCTCTGTGAGTTCGAGGCCAGCCTGGTCTACAGAGTGAGTTCCAGGACAGCCTCCAAGACAATACAGAGAAACCCTGTCTTGAAAAACAAAAACAAAACAAAACAAAAAGACAGCTTGGCTCAGTGGATGGGGTGGTGTCTTAGTTTGGGTTTGTAGCGCTGCAATGAAACACCATGACCAAAAAGCAACTTGGGGAGGAAAGGGTGTATTTGGCTTACATTTCCATATCACTGTTTTTCATGGAAGGCAATCAGGACAGAAACTCAGAGAGCAGGAACCTGGAGGCAGGAGCTGATGCTTGGATTGCTCTACCTGCTTTCTTATGGAACCAAGGACCACCAGCCCAGGGATAGAACCACCCACAATGAGCTGGGTCCTCCCCTATCAATCACTAATTAAGAAAATACTCTACAGGCTTGCCTACAGCCTGATCTAAGGAGGGATTTTTCTCAATTGAACTGACTTTAGCTTATGTCCAGTTGACATAAAACTACCCAGGACAGGGGTTTGAATGACCCATAGGCTCACAGAGTTGAATGCTTGGACACCAGGGAGTAGAACGGACAGAGGGTTGATCTCCAAAATATATAGAGAACTCCAGAAACTGGACATCAAAACACCAAATAATGCAATTAAAACTGGAGTACAGGCTTAAACAGAGAATTCTCAACAAAAGATTCTCAAATAGCCAGGATATACTTAAAGGATTAGGAGGTATGCCCTTGCTGGAGGAAGATGTATGTCACTGGAGGTGGACTTTGAGGTTTCAAAAGTCCAAGCCAGGCCCAGCGTCTCTCTCTCTCTCTGTGGATCAGAGTGTAGCTCTCAGCTACTGCTCCAGTGCCAAGTTTGCCACCATGCTCCCCACCATGATGATAACGGACTAAAACTCTGAAACTGGCCGGGCGGTGGTGGCGCACACCTTTAATCCCAGCACTCGGGAGCCAGAGGCAGGCGGATCTCTGTGAGTTCGAGGCCAGCCCAGTCTACAAGAGCTAGTTCCAGGACAGCCTCCAAAGCCACAGAGAAACCCTGTCTCGAAAAACCAAAAAAAAAAAAAGAGTTTCCCCCTGAGTCAGGCAGAGACAAGAGGATTGATGGGGCTTGCTGGCTCCCAATCTAGCCCCCGAAATGTGAGTTCTATGTTCAAAGAGAGTAAGTCAGAGAGTGATAAAGGACATGTAGCCTCTTTTCTGTCCTCCATACTCACCCAGGCAAGTGTGTGTGCCTACACCACACATACCTAAAACAAGTCCATGGAAGACTCAAGGAGTTCTTTCTGACACCCCAACATTCCCCTCACTGGGAAGAAAACTGGGGCTGGGGAGGTGTCACCGCCTAAAGTGCTCGCCCGCTAACCCAGACCCTGACCTTGATCTCGGAGCCGTGTGATGAGCTGGGTGGTGGCGCATACTCCCCATTGCTGGAGGGACAGCTATGGAATGAACCTTGAGGCTTGCTGTCAGGCCAGACTAATCAGTGACACCCAGGTCCTAGGGACAGACCCAGGCTCAAAAATCAAGGTGGGGCCTGAAAGATGGCTCAAGGGATAAAGGTTCTTGCTGCCAAGCCTGATGACAGAGAGAGAGAGAGAGAGAGAGAGAGAGAGAGAGAGAGAGAGAGAGAGAGAGAGAGAGGGAGGGAGGGAGGGAGGGAGGGAGGGAGACAGAGAGAATGAGGAAGAGAGAGACAGAGAGGGAGAGAGAAACAGAGAGAGAGACAGAGAGAAGGAGGAAGAGAGAGACAGACAGAGAGAGAGTTAATATAAGAAAAAGTATAAGCAAAAGAAAATGTGAACCGAATATCCTAGGAAGAACACGACAGCAGCACGTCGGCCCTCTAGTGGCGATTGTTGGAATGGCACTTTAGTGTGATTTCCCAGAAGCTTGCAGACTGACCGGCCAACAAGTCTTTCTAAATATTTCCCTTGTTTTTGAGAATTTCATACATGCACACAATGAAATGATGACATCTACTGCTATCCCCATCCCCCTCCACTCTCCCCATATTCATGTAACACCTCCCCTTCCCAACTTCACGTCATTTTAAAAAAAATAACCCACCAACTGCAGTTAGTGCTGCCCACACGTGCATGGGTGCGTAGATGTCCACCAGATCATGGGAAATCTGCCCGTGGCCACAATTTCAAAAAAGAACGATTGTCCCTCCCCAGCATCTGTCCACTGCCAGTGCTCCTCAGTGAGGGGCGGGGCCTGGAGACCATCACCCCGGTGTCTGCTGGGAGTTTGGTTGGCTTGGTCATGTGCAGGTAACAAGGCAATCACCGAGAGCGTCCTGTCCGGAAGACGGCTTTTCACAGCTCTGCTCTCCACGCTTGTCTTCAGAGATGTGCCCTGAGACTTGCAGGTGAGACTTAATGTAGATGTCCTGCTTGTGACCAGTGCTCATTCTCAGCCTAGCACTTGGACCATCTCTCCACTGACGGTCGATGCAGAAAGCAGGTTTCTCTATCTAAGGCTGAGCGAGCCAGACAGTCAGCTGAGCAGACGCCACCGCAAGTCATTAGGGCTGCAGGAGCATCCACGCCCACGAGGACACGGGCATCACCGTAGACCTGGCCGCGAGTGGGAACAGAACCGGAATGGAGGAGACGGAAAACCCTCGTCTTGTGGAGCTTGTGTCTGGTTAGAGGAGGCAAAGGAGGAAACTACAGCTGTGAGAGCCAAAACGAAAAGGCCAAAACGGGTTTCGGTGACTGGGGCTCAGCTGGCAGAGTGCTCGCCTAGCATGCGGAAAGCTCTGGGTTCCAGGTAGAGTGCTCGCCTAGCATGCAGAAAGCTCTGGGTTCCACCCCTAGCACTTCACAAAAGCGCTTGGTGAATGGAGCCCTCGGGAGGTAGAGACGGAGATCAGGGCTTCAAGGTCATCCTAGGCTACAAATTAGACCGCGCTCACCTGGGTACACGAGACCCCGTCTCAAAGAGCTAGGAGCACAGCAAATGGAAAGGTTCTGAGACAAGATCAGAATGAGTCTACCAGATGGCAGGTCTGAGGAGACGTTCAGTTGGTAGCCAGATGTTAGATCCCCAAAACCTACAGCAAACAAGCTGGGGCTGGTGGCGCCCACCTACCATACTGGGCAGGAGAAGGCAAAGAGATCTCTGGCGCTCACTTAATGTAGCACTTGGGGTCACAGCTCGTGGGCCAAGAAGCCAGGCTCAGTCACCTGCCCTCCACAAGTCAATTAGAAAAGTCAAATTAACAGAAAAAAAAAAAAAGGAGATTTGGTCAAGGTGGCCACTTTGGGAAGAGGAGCAAAGAGACCCAGAAACTCCCCCAAATCCACCTTCAGAGTCCTGGGGTGAAGTTAAACTGTAGAGAGGGAGGCGTTTCAGTGCGCATCTGAGCCGACCAGCAAGGTGAGGTCCCAGCCACCATGGCCCTGCCATCGTCTTTGGGAGGTTGGAAATCTCCCGGGAGGAGAGAAGAGCACCCCATTGGCTGGCCCAGGTTGGTCTTCTACCAGCACGAAACTCCTGGGAAAACTACAGTTCTCAGGGACCATTTTTAATAGTCCTAACCAAAGAGTCTCTCTCTCTTTTTTTTTTTTTGTTTTTTTTTGTTTGTTTGTTTGTTTTCGAGACAGTGTTTCTCCGTATTGTTTTGGAGGCTGTCCTGGAATTCGCTTTGTAGACCAGGCTGGCCTCGAACTCACAGAGATCCGCCTGCCTCTGCCTCCCAAGTGCTGGGATTAAAGGCATGCGCCACCACCGCCCGGCTCCAAAGAGTCTCTTTAGAGTATATTCGTTTCTGCCAGGCGCTTACACGCTGTCCAGGAAGCCTGTCATATTGGTAAAGTCCAGGTTCAGGAAGAAATATATCTTGAAAACGCAAGGTTGACAGGGAGGAGGAGTCGCAAGCACTTACCACCCTTCCAGAAGACCTGAGTTTGGTTCCCATCATCCACGGCAGCTCACAGGGGTCTGTTAACTCGAGTTCAAGGGAATCCGTCGCCCTCTTCTGGCCTCTTTAGGCACTGCACCCGTGTGGACATAGACACAGAGCATGAACACACGCTCACAGAGAAGGAGGAAAAAGAAGAAAGGAGGAGGAGGTGACCATTGCTTCCAGCAGCAAAGGTAGGACAGCCCAGTGGAGAGGGGGGGCAGGCTAAAGAGGAGGTGAGGCCAGCCAGGCCTCAGCCGTGTACAGCCCCTGGCAAGGAAAAGCCGGCGGCATCTCAGCTGAGCTTTCCTCAAGGGCCATCCTGTCCTTCCACATGCGCCCATTCCAAGATGGCTGCTGCCTGGGGCCAGCGAAACGGCTCCATGGGTGAAAGTCTGAGGACCTGAGTTCAATGCCCAGAGCCCAAGGTGGAAGGAAAGCTATTCTCTAATCTCCACATTCAAGATGTGGCACATGTACACTGTACACACACACACACACACACACACACACACACACACACACACACACACACAATGCATTTACATTTGTGCTAAATAATAACACACACACTCAGCATGCATTTACATATGTGCTAAATAACACACACCACACATTTACATGTATATGAAATAATAATGCCCGGCTCCTTATTATGTATTTGTAATACATAAACGTAAAATAATGATTGTATAGAATATTTTATGTTACAAAATACCAAACAATTGAATGGCCATCCCCAAAATGAAATAAAATTAATAATAAACTTATGAAAGAAAAATAGCAATGAACTGACTTACAACCTGTGTCCCATATGCAGAGCCACCAAGGCAGGGAGAGCTGATCTGGCAAACACAAACACTAGATCACCTGCCTTTAGGTTAAAACCCGGGAAATGAAGGAGGCAAGAGACAGGGTGAGGCTTCCCAAGAGAGGAGCTGACAGCGACCCTGTTTGTTGAGCACCTAGTATATGCCAGGCACAACTCCAAGTCCCTTATGCTCACTCTCAGGGTTGTGTTGTGTTATTTACTCTGTTGTTTAGTGAGGAAACTGAAGAACAGAGAGAGGTGCTAACCTGCCCCCTCACGCAGCTGGACTGACACCAGCACCCAGAATTCTTCGAGACAGGGTTTCTCTGTGTAGCTTTGGAGGCTGTCCTGGAACTCGCTCTGTAACTGGTCTCAAACTCATAGAGATTCTCCTGCCTCTGCCTCCCGAGTGCTGGGATTAAAGGCGTGTGCCACCCACGCCCGGCTTTGGTACAAAGATTTTTATTGCAGGGAGAGCGCAGGTCGGGGCTTCCTCGGCCAGGCGTGGGGTCACTGCGTGCTCAGCGGCTCCACCCGCAGCCACAGCCCGCCCTCTGCGCGCAGGATCAGCTCCGGCTGCCGGCGCGGCTCCTTGTCGTCCGGCAGGACGCGGAAGCGCAGCAGCGTCAGCGCCAGCGCCACCTTCATCTCGCTTAAGGCGAAAGTCTGTCCGATGCAGTTCCTGCAGGAGAGCGGAGTGGGGACTCTGTGTCCTAGGGACCAACACAGCACTAGAACCCGGCCCCGGGCCAAGGTATCTGGGAGCACGCATGGGCGTTGCCGTCCAGACCAGCAAACAAACAGGCCAGGGAGGGGCTCTGAGCTTGGAGATGGGCTCTTCACCTTCCCCTCCCCGGCTCCCCAACCCTTTTCTGTACAAAGAGGTAGGAAGGCGATACTAGCGCCACCCCCACCCCAAACATCCCAACTCCCCCTCCCCTGTCAGCCCCAGACCCCGCCCTCTCACTCCTGGCCTCACCTAGGCCCTGCCGAGAAGGGAAGGAATGCCAGGGGTGACCTGCCCTTGGCATTGTCTGCGTCAAATCGGAAAGGGTTGTAGACCTGCAGGAGATACAAAGACATGGTGGGTGAGTGGCATCTTCCCGCACAGCCAGGAGCAGAGAGTCCTCCGTGGGCGGCGGAAGTTAACAATTGATGTCTCTGCCTCCTGGATATCTCGTCTGGAGTTCAGGGTGCGACTATGTGCAGTTGGAAGCACTGGATTCCACTCCCAGCACCGGCATAAAACCGAAGGGGTGCAAACCTGTCATCGCAGCACCGCAGAGGTGGAGGCAGGAGGCTCGACGGTTCAGGGTCGATCTTGCTGTATAGCGATACCCTTGCTAGCCTGAGATACCCGAGACCCTGCTTCATAAAGCACGTGACTGGGGTTGGGGAAGTAGCTGAGTTGGTAGCACGCTTGCCTAACAGGCACAGAGCCCTGGATCTGGTCCCCAGGATCACATAAACCAGGCACGGTGCTGACACCCGTCATCCCAACACACCGGAGGTGGAACCGGTGGATCAGAAGTTTACAGTTACCCTTGACTATAGCATGAGGTCAAGGCCACACACACACACACACATACACCACACACTCACACACACATACACACACACACACACATACACCACACACTCACTCACACACATACACACACACACACACACACACACACACACACACACACACACACCTTCTTCTTAAGAATCCCAGCCACAACATAGGAATACTAAGGAAGGGACAGCACCTCCGGGTCAGGCCACACAGCTGGATTGTGATGTGTCCCAAAAATACTTATTCTGCAGATGACACCTGTGGAGGAAGTGAAGAAGTCAATGCAAACGGCTGCAGGCTGGACCCTCTGTCTGCCGGACCCTCCCGCTCCTCTCTGATGCCGTGGTACCTTTGGGGATGACCCGGCCATCTGGGAGCACAATGTCCTGTGTGCAGCAGCGGGAGATAGCGGTGACCGGGGGATGCAGTCGCAGACTCTCCTTGACGCACATGGTGAGGAAGGGCAGCTGGGCCAGGTCGTCCCTGAAACCCATCAATGGTGAACCAGGAAAAATGAGAGCACTTCGGCCCCTCTGACCCAGGGAAAGCCTTCTCCCACCATAAAATGATCTTGAGATGAAGTACTTGACCGCTGTAAAAGCACGGGCTGACGACATGGCTCTGCCGACAAGTCTGAAGACTGAGTTCAACCCCCAGCAGCGACACTAGTTAACACTAGTTAGTTAATGTAATTTTTTTCTTTTCTTTTTTCAAGACAGGGTTTCTCTGTATTGTTTGGAGCCTGTCCTGGAACTCGCTCTGTAGGCCAGGCTGGCCTCCAACTCACAGAGATCCAGTTAATGTAATTTTTTAAAAAAGAAAACCAAAACAAAATTCCAACAGTAGGAAGGCTAGGGCAGGAGGATTATGCGTTCCAGACCAGCCTATGGCCCACAGTGATACTCTGTCTCAAAATACATGATTAATTAACAATTGCTTAGCTTACTGATTAATTAGCTTAATTGTGTGTTTATTAGCAATTAAGGGTTGGGTTTTTTTTGGGTTTTTTTTTTGTTTTTTTTTTTTCAAGACAGAGTTTCTCTGTGGCTTTGGAGGCTGTCCTAGAACTCACTCTGTAGACCAGACTGGTCTCAAACTCACACACACACACACACACACACACACACACACACACACACAGAGAGAGGGAGAGAGGGAGAGAGGGAGAGAGAGAGAGGAGGTTTGATTTGGTTTTTGTTTCCGGTTTAGTTCAGGTTCTGTGGGAATTAGGATCCATCCCCTGGCCGTGCTCGCTGTTCTCCCGCCAAGCCCCATTCACCATTCACCACCCCAGACCACAGTGATTTTATGCTTAGAAAACACAGCAGAATCCACTGGGAAACTTTAACAACAAATGCAGAGCCAACAACATGGCTGAAATCTTAAATCTGTGTTCTTTTGGTGTGGGCAGCTAGCTGGTTCAAAATCTGAACTCTGTGACAGACATCACTCACCCCCCTGACCCAGCACCGAAAATCTGAACTCTGTGACAGACATCACTCACCCCTCTGACCCAGCACCGAGTGCTCTCTTCCTGCAGGCTGCCTGGTTGCGAGCTTTTTTGCTTGTTTATTTACATAACACTCCAAGAATGCCTTTTTGTTTGTTTTGTTTTTTTAGGGGTTTTTGTGTGTGTGTGTGTGTGTGTGTGTGTGTGTGTGTGTGTGTGTGTGTGTGTTTGCATGCTGGTGCCCAAGGAGGCTGGTGGCATTGAATCCTCTGCAGCTAGAGTGACAGGCAATTGTGAGCAGCCCGGCATGGGTCCTGGGAACTGAGCTGGGGCCTCTGCCTTTCTCCGGGCCTGTTTGTGTTTTGAGGTAGACAGGGTCTTGTCACGCTGCCCAGACTTATCTCCAACTCCTGACTCAAGGGATCTTCCTGCCTCAGCTCCCAACTCGGTGGGACTAACCGTGTGCCCACGACACCCAGCTCACCTGATGCTTCAAAGAACTCCAATAAGCAAAGCTAAAGTTTTTACGGAAGAGTAAAGGATTGTACGGTTAGGTCAGCGTGACAGGGCAGGCCTTGGGAGAATCCTACAAGGACCTTTGCGATACAGAGCCGATGTGTCTCTGCTCTGCTCAATCTTTCTCCGGGCCCCATAAATACCCGTGGATTAAACTCAAAGACAACAGCATTGCTTTTCCAGTCTACACTGCTGGCCTCAGTTGCTGCCGGCTAGATTCATCTTAGCCCACCACACACACACACCTTCCTGTCCCCCACTCCCTCATTTCCTTTCCTCCCCCTCCCTCCGTCTTCAAAGCCTGTCTCCCCCACCTAAAGCAGACCTCCTCTTCTCCCTTCCCTCTCCCATCTTGTCATTTCTCTGGAGAAAAGAACCAGGTGAGAGGAGCTCAGAAACACACCAGGCCCTGCACTCACCACTCAATCTCCTCAGGGTCACGGTCCCTCAGCAGCTCCCGCACCTCCTGCCGGCAGCGCTCCTGGTACTCCGGGTACCTTGCCAGGTTGTACAGGACCCAGGAGAGCCCGCTGGCCGTGGTGTCATGGCCTGAGGGGCAGACAGGCAGCCTGGAGTCACCAAGCGGACACCAAGCAGGTGGCCCAGTCCCCAGGATGTGGAATCGCCAGGAAGCACAGGGAAGGGAAAGGACAGAGGAATCCAGGGTCCACCTACCATGTCCCCAGGTGCCCAGGCAGACCCTCCCCTCCCTGTAGCAGTCCATGGGCACTCACCTCCAAACATGAAGGTGTCAGCCTCTGCGCGGATGTCCTCATCGGACAGCGCCTTTCCATGTTCGTCCTGAAGATAAGGCAGGACGCCAAATGGCATCAGTTGTGCGCATTCTTGCATGTAACCTGAGACAGTCTCTGAAGACACCTGGTCCATCTGGACACCCAGCCAACCGCACCCCTGCACCTATGTTAGTCACCCTCACCGGAGGCCCCACACCAGTGATGCCATCCCGGGCTGCTGGCGTCTGTCCTCACCCTGGAGGAACCAGCAACCCATCAATGTTCTTTATCCCTCTACTACAAGCATCCGGAGAAGGAGTTGAATGTGATTGCCTTTGAAGTCAGAAACACAGCGTTATTCCAAAGAGTGTGCTTCTGAGCCGGGCGTTGGTGGTGCACGCCTTTAATCCCAGCACTCGGGAGGCAGAGGCAGGCGGATTTCTGTGAGTTCGAGACCAGCCTGGACTACCAAGCGAGTTCCAGGACAGCCTCCAAAGCCACAGAGAAACCCTGTCTCGAAAAAACAAAAACAAAAACAAAAACAAAACAAAACAAAAAAACAAAGAGTGTGCTTCTGTGTGCGTGTCTAGGAAAAGGCCAGCGGGAAGGCTCCGTGCATAAAGGCTCTTGTCACAAGCCTGACGACTTGAGTTTAATCCTGGGATCCACACTGAAGGAGAAAATCTAGTCCCTAAAGTTGTCCTCTGTCCACCCCCCCCATGTGTACTGTGGCACAGGCACCCACACACATAGACACAATAAACAAACAAACAGATGGTGTGATTTTAAAATGCTATCTCCCTGGAGACATTTGGCTTGTGTGCCTGTAGATGTCACTAAAGAGACCTAGTTCACACTTCCAAGCAGAGTTCCCTCTCTCCCTTCCTTCTTCCTCACTCCTGCCACCATGCCTCACTCCCTCCCTCCTCTCAGGGAAGAAGATGACAGCTGTCCTACGTAAGCCCCAAACCTCACAGCAGTCAAACTGCTGCTTGAAAATAAAAGCTGTGACGACCCAGGGAAAATGGTCCAGTCGGTAAAGCACTTGTCACTTAAGTAGGCGGCCCTGAGTTCAGATCTCCAGTGCCCACATGAAAGCCAGGCATGGTGGCACCTGCCTGTGATCCTAGCACTGGACAGTTGAGATGAGTGGATTCCAGGGCTCTTTAACTAGCCAGTGCAGCTGCTCTGTGAGCTCCAGGTTCAGTGACAGACCCTGTCTCCAAAGACTGGTGGGATGGCTCAGCAGGCGAAGGCACTTGCCTCCAAGCCTCAAGACAGGAGTTCGATGGCAGGGATGCCACATGGTGGAAGGAGACAAACAACTACTACAAGCTGTTCTGTGACCTGTGAGCGTGGGCGCGCGCGCACACACACACACACACACACACACACACACTCAGGCACACACACATGCACACACACACTCAGGCACACACACATGCACGCACACACTCAGGCACACACACATGCACGCACACACACTCACACACACTCACACACATGCACGCACACACACACTACACCACTCGGTCAACAAAATGTCATCAAAAAGCAAGGTGGAGGGCTGCAGAGATGGCTCAGTGGTTAGGAGCACTTGCTGCTCTTGCAGAAGACCAGGATTCCATTCCTAGCCCCCACATGGTGGCTCAGAACTGTAACTACAGTTCCAGGAGATCTGAAGTCATCTTCTCACTTCCATGAGCTCAGGCTCTTACGGCATGCACATACATGCATGCAGACAGAACATTCATATGTGTAAACTATGATAGATAAACCTACATCCATAAGAAAGCAAGATGGAGAGCGATGGAGAAAGTCACTCCATGGCAACCTCTGTTCTTTGCCTGAGCAAAGGTGCCCAGAGCTTCAGCTATGGAAGTCCCTGCGTCACCGTATCTAGAGCCCCTGATGCACGCTGTGTCCCTTCTACCCTCAAGCACCTTCTGTGGCTGCCCAGTTCCCTCTACATCAAGACCAGATTCTCTTTCTTTCCTTCATCTCTTTTTTAGACTGGGTCTCATGTAACTCAGACTCTGCAGCCAAGGATAATCTTGAAACTCTGACCCACCAACCTCCAACACATGAATGCTGGGATGACAGGCAGGAACACTTTGCCCTGTTTACAAAGTGCCGGGATAGAACCTAGGGCCTCGTGCATGCTAGGCAGACACTGTACCAACAGAGGCCTATCCCCAGCCCCGAGGAGGGGGTGTCAGCTCTCACTGTCCCCTACTATGTGCAAAACTGTCCCTGGCTGTGCTGGCAAGTGCTACTCACCCCCCCCCCCATGACTGGGTCCCTCTATAACCCTTTCTACTTGGATATGGTAATATCAAAGGCAGGTTACCCAGATTGTATGCTCTTCTCAGCCAGGACCAGGGGCCAGGGCTGATGGGTAAGGTCTGAGTCTGGCAAGTGGGGATGGGGAGAGTTGGCATGGCTGGTGTTCAGGGTCTCCTTCCTGCCCTCTGTATAGGTTATGTGCAAAGTTTTGGACCCATAGCGGGGAAGCCAAGAACAGCCTCTCTGCGCTCAGAGCCCCTCTCTGAGTTGGCTCCAAGGGTGTTGCAGACACCTTAGTTCTCCTGGTTCCAGTGATGAGTGGAGCCTGCCTAGGGTCCGGGACACAGCAAGGGCAGAGCATGCTCAGCTTGTCATGTCACTTGTCCTCCCTGCCCCAGCCTCCACTCCCCGTGGGGAACCCACCTTGCTCAACAGCAGCACATCAATGAAATCCAAAGTCTTGGCCTTGGCCTTGGCCTTGAGGACATCATCGTCACCTTGATCAGGGAGGGTGCGGCGCCGCTCCTGGATGACGGCGTCGGTGAAGTCATGTACTAGGCGGCAGGCCTTCCGGAAGCGCATCCCGTCCCGGGTGAGGTGATAGAACAGGTCCACGTGCAGATGCAGCTTCTGGTGCCTTCTGGCCACTAAGGCACTAAGTTCCAAGATGGCAGCGATGTACTCACTAGGCTTCCTGGAGGGTGAAGGCATCGAGGAGCTGATGTTTTAACGTGTGTGGACACCAAGAAGCACCTCAGCAGCCATGAGCTGCTGCCCGTGGGGATGGGGAAACTAGAAGCACACATTTACTCTGGACGCCATCTTGGACTTTGCCCAGTAGCCATGGCAACTAGAGCAGAAGAGTACAGTGGTACCCAGGTCTATGGTGATAGTGACAGACCTATTAGTGCCCCCTAGTAGATGGAGAAAGAGGGGGTCAGGAGACCCTCATCTTCAACTCCAACTATTTCTCTCTGTCCCCTATTACCTGCCACAAGTGATCTAGAAAATGGGACTCCATACACATCCATGAAGTCACCATCCATGATGGGGTGGGTGTCCGTGATGGTACAGTTATTTGGGGGTTCCCCATGCTCCTGAAAGTAACCCCTCCACTGTGCTTTGTAAGTAAGTAAACCCGTGTAAAGGGAGTTTCTAGAAGGAATTGCAGTTGATATTGAACCTTCTGCAAGGCTGCTTCGATGATTAGAACTTCAATAACTGCAGAGTTAGAATGCTTCAGGACCAGAGTCTAATTACAGCTTATCTTGGACTGCCTCTAGCACCATTCCTAACCCATCTCTGTGTCTGACCTACCATCCTTGTGACTAACATGTAAAACCATTTTTTAAAAAGATTTATGTATCACTTATACAGTGTTCTGCCTACATACCAGAAGAGGACACCAGATTGAATTGTAGATGGTTGTGAGCCACCATGTGGTTGCTGGGAATTGAACTCAGGTCCTCTGGAAGAGCAGTCAGTGCTCTTAACCTCTAAGCCATCTCTCCAGCCCCAAGTAAAACCTTTTTGAATGTAGTAGCATAAAAAACCACAGTTTCCACCAACCAAAAGAGGCCAAGTGCGTCATGAGATGATTTTGAGCCCACAGCAGACATCCTCACTAAGCCACCTACCTGACACCTCCATCCATGATTTATGACTTTGCTTTTGATATTTTTAGACTTATTTTATTCTGTGTATGAGTGTTTTGCCTGCATGTGTACCATGTGCACTCCTGGTGTCTACAGAGGTCAAAATAGGGCACTGGACCCCCAGAACTGAAGCTACAGAGGGTTGTGAGCCACCGTGGGGTGACAGAACTGAGTCTGGGTCCTGCACAAGACCAAGCAAGCGCTCTTAACCACTGAGCCGACTTCCCACCCCACCCCAGTTTATGGCTTTCCTTGTTTTGTTATCGTAAAACTTCATCCAACTCTGACCATGTTGAAACATGCCGTTTGAGGGAACCTGCGTTCATCTCCAGGCCGTGGTGGCTCACATTTGGCTCCAGGATAAACAGTCTCTTCTCCTCTTGAGCTGTGTTTTTGCCTCAGCACCCACCGGTCTCACAGGGGTGGACTTTGGTTTGTCCAGAGTGCCCACATTAGGGAAATCTCCCGGGGGAAAAGTCAGTTTATCCACCACAGGGAAGAGCCCTGAGACGCACCTCCATCTCCTGTCCTCTACTGAGTCCGTGGCAGCTGCTTCCATGCACCAGAGCACAGGGTGGACCCCAGGTTCCTTCCCTGTCTCCTCCACCCAGGCTCCTCCCCCTCCTCTTCCCAACTCATCTTCTTTCCACTTCTATGTCCGTAATTATTAATTGTTATTACTGGTGACTCAATGAGCTTAACTGGGTTATTTGCAGGAGTGTGGACACTCAATGAGTTTAATTGGGTTATTTGCAGGAGTGTGGACACTCAGTGAGTTTAACTGGGTTATTTGCAGGAGTGTGGACACTCAGTGAGTTTAACTGGGTTATATGCAGGAGTGTGGGCACTCAGTGAGTTTAACTGGGTTATTTGCAGGAGTGTGGACACTCAGTGAGTTTAACTGGGTTATTTGCAGGAGTGTGGGCACTCAGTGAGTTTAACTGGGTTATTTGCAGGAGTGTGGACACTCAGTGAGTTTAATTGGGTTATTTGCAGGAGTGTGGACACTCAGTGAGTTTAATTGGGTTATTTGCAGGAGTGTGGACACTCAATGAGTTTAATTGGGTTATTTGCAGGAGTGTGGACACTCAGTGAGTTTAATTGGGTTATTTGCAGGAGTGTGGACACTCAGTGAGTTTAATTGGGTTATTTGCAGGAGTGTGGACACTCAGTGAGTTTAATTGGGTTATTTGCAGGAGTGTGGACACTCAGTGAGTTTAATTGGGTTATTTGCAGGAGTGTGGACACTCAGTGAGTTTAATTGGGTTATTTGCAGGAGTGTGGACACTCAGTGAGTTTAATTGGGTTATTTGCAGGAGTGTGGGCACCTTATCAAGTGGTTTCGCCACTGAAGAAAATGTCTCTCGGTTTCCTTTTACTGCCTTATTGTACAGTAATTTCCTCTGAGTTGAAACAGTCCATCCTGGAGCAAGATTCATTAAGACTGAGTAAGTAAACAACTCTCTAGTCTGAAGAAATCCCTGAAACTCACCAGGTTCACAAGGCCTCTCCTTCCCCAAAGTTAAATAAGTAGTGAGGCTGCTGGAAAGATGAGACACTCTGACCTGAGCTCCAGAGAGCTCCAGGCTTCCATCTCTGTGAGCTGTCCCCACGCTGGGGGGGACTTTGGTGACGCAGCTGTCTTTGAATCATTTCTGCTTCTGTAAGTGACCCCGATAGAACTCACTGGTTCACTGATGGGGGATGTCCTACTGTGTATATATATATATGTGTGTGTGTGTGTGTGTGTGTGTGTGTGTATGTATATATATATATATATATATATATATATATATATGTCTTATTGGTTGATGAATAAAACACTGTTTGGCCAATAGTCAATAGAGGCTGGAAGATAAGCGGGACTAGGAGACGAGGAGAATTCTGGGAAAGATAGGCAGAGAGAGACTGCAGAGGACACCATGTAGAGACCAGGAGGATAAGACGTGCTAGGCATTCTCCAGTAAGCTAAGACCACATGGAAGTACACAGATTTATAGAAATGGGTTAATAATAATTAAGACAGAGCTAGCCAATAACAAGCCCTAACCATTGGTCAACAATTTTATGATTAATAAAGCGTCTGCATGATTATTTGGGGCCGAGAAGGGCGGCAGGACCTGGTGGGACAAGAACCTTCAGCTACAGTTCACCAAGTTGGACTTTGGCGGCGTCCACACTTCGGTCTGTCACAGGTTCTCTAGCTGGGGTGAGTGATGTGTGTTCACACCTCCTCAGGAATGGTGTCACTCCACATGTCAGAGCCCCAGGGACTGCAGCCCCAGGGGAACTGAAGAGAGGCTGCTGTTGCCATCTCTCCTTACTTTGGAGAGCCTCCTCTCCACGCTCCTCACAGGAGCCGGCTGATGAATGAAGCTTCTCGAACCCTGGGCTCAAACAAACTTTTCCTCCCTTGATGCTGATTGTCTCAGATATTTTGTTACAGTAGGAGGAATCTGTCTATTGCAAACTCAACACCTTCCGTGGTTTCCTTGAACTCTCATAACGAAGTTCACATCCCTTGACCTAGCTTTTCTGGGTCCTTAGAACTGAGGCACTATCTCCCCTGACGCCCTCATCTCCTCCCTCACTGCTGGATGCAGACCTGCATCTCCATGCTGTAGTTGGAATAACTGCACCTCCTGGAAGGACCACTCGCCATCTCCCGTCCCAGGCACTTTTTGTTTGTTTGTGTTTGGTTTTGGTTTTGGAGCAGGGTTTCTCTGTGGAGCATTAGAGCCTATCCTGGCACTGGCTCTGTAGACCAGGCTGACCTCGCACTCACAGAGATCCACCTGCCTCCGCCTCCCGAGCTGGGATTAAAGGCGTGCACCACCAACGCCTAGCGAATCCCAGGCTATTTAATGCTAGTTTTGAGCCGTCTCCTTCAGGAAGCCATTCTGCTCCCTCTGGCCAGCCCTCCCTCCCTTGTGCCTCTGCACCATGTTCCCAGGCTACGACAGGGACTCACTCTTGGCAGTTGCTGTTGAAGCTGAAGACACACTTCTGCAGACTGTCCAGGGTCATGAGGCTGATATGTTCAAACATGTCCAGACGGGCACTTCCCTTGGATGCTAGGCGCAGCCACTTGGCCTGGCCAGAGAGGGGGACAGGAATGGGCTGGGCCCATTTGAGTCTCTTCCCAACCCCAGCCACCAAAAAGGAACCCCCGAAACAGCCTGATCTGATCTGATTTGCTGTGCGCCAAACCAAGATGGAACCTGAACCCCACCATGCTAAGATCACTTCTTTACCTGGGTGGACTTGAACAAGCTCCCTGATATGTCAGACCTTCAGGGTCACCCTTACTTCATAAGCTTGTGAGAGTAAACTCAGACAAGGTAGTCGTCGAACCGGCATGTGAGACCATGACACACAAGGTCACACAGGGTTAGCCTTCTTGACCTTCACTGTTACAAATTTATTTCAGAGATATCCCTGGGTTCTGGTGAGATGGTTCAGTCATAAAAGTGCTCGCCACCCATGCATGAGGATCTGAGTTCAATTCCCAGAACTCATGTTTTAAAAAAGAAGTGGTCATGGTGGCGTGCACCTGTGATCCTAACCCCAGAGAGATGGAGACAGGAGGGTCCCTAGGGCTCAACCGCTAGCCAGCTTGGCATAATTGGTGAGCTCCAGGCAACAAGAGGCGCTGTGTCAAAAAACAAGGTGGATGGAAACTAAGGAAGGGAACCCAAAGTTGACCTCTGATCTCCACATGCACACACACACACACACACACACACACTCACACACACACACACACACACACACACGCAGACACGCATGTGTGCACACAGTGGCATGTGAGAGGTTGCTGCCCCTGGTCATGAGAATTCTTTCCTCATCTGGGCTGTTTCTCAGATGTGTTTGCAGAGGACGTCTCAGTGAGCAGCAGTGACTCTCTCAGGAAAACTCCAGGCTCCCTGGTTTCCTATCACAGAGGACCCCAGCCTGGCATGACCATTCATGCCTTTAATCCCAGCATGCAGGAGGAAGAGACAGGTCCCCCAGTGCAGCTGGCTAGGGAGACCAGCTGTATCTGTGAACTCTGGGTTTGACTGAGAGACCCTGCCCCAATGAGTAAGGCTGAGAGACATGGATGATTTCCAGCCTCAAGCTTGGGCCCCCACATGCACACATGTGAACATATAGCCCTCTGTGATGATGTGTGTTGATGGCCAACCTCACAGGATCCGGAATTACCTAGAAGACAAGCTTCCAGGCATGTTTGTGAGGGATTATCTACATTAGGTTACCTAATCCCTGTAGGGGTTTATCTGAATATGTTGCCTATTTTTGACTGTCAATCTGACACAGTTAGAATCACAAGGGAAGAGTCACTCCATTAGGAGTTTTCTAGATCAGGTTAGCTTGTGGGGCATGGGTGTGGGGAATTATCTTGACTGTTAGTTGATGCAGGAGCGCCCACTGTGAGCGGCACCATTCCCCATTCAAAGCTTCCTGAGCTGTACAGCAAGGAGAAAACTGACTGTGGGTGAGCAGGAATCCATACGTGTATTCTCTCTGCCTTGACCGTGGCCGTGACACGCTCAGTTCCCACTTTCACTTCCTTGCAGTGATGGACTTGATCCAAGCAAGCCCTTTCTTCCCTAAGTCACTTTTTGTCATGGAATTTTATCACAGCAGCAAAAGTAAAGTAGAAGGCTCAGTTAGGTTAACTTAAGTGCACCACCCTAAGAGGGGTGGTCCCAGCATCGATCCTTGGTTGAACGGAAGAAGAAAGTGAGCTAACCACCAGCATTCGCCCCACCTTGCTTCCTGACTAGGGACGCGCCGGGACCAGTTGCCTCACACTTCTGCCACTATGGCTCCCCAGGTGGTGGAGTGTGAGGCAGAGATCCTCCCTTAAGTTGCTTCTGCACCCGTGTTTTATCACCTCCAACTGAGAGCAATGCGGGAGACCAGATTGGTCTACTGGAGCTGGGGATCTGGGCTCTAGGCACTCACATGCATGATGTTAACGCTGTCATTGAAAATCTTCACATAGGGCTTCAGGATGTTGAAATGGAAGGCGGGCGTCAGCATCCGACGGTGGCGGCCCCACTTGTCACCGGCACTCAGCAAGAGCCCGTCTCCTAATGGAGTAGCGTGGCAGTAGGCAAGGGCAGCACCTTCCCCCGGCCCCGAAGCGTGTTCCCAGATCCTCACCCCTTGGTACTCACCCAGCCAGGGCTTCAGGAAACTGTAGAAGACTCTGTCCTTGGGAGCAACTGAAGCTGGTGCCAGCAAGGGCAGTCAGGAACCATGGGGGGAGGGGGCATGGGAGGGACGGAGCCCTTAGACTGGGATCTGCATGCACCCCTCCAAGTCCACATGGTGGGGTTGGGGGCAGGGACAGAGGGTGCAGGGAGCCAGTGAGACAGGAAGGACCAGACATGCAGCAGCACTAGACAGAGAGAAGACGTGGCCTGATGTGACGCAGACACTGACGTGACAAAGATACTGCCCCACACCTTCACACGGCTACTACATGATCAAACATGTTTCCCCTGCCAAGCCCAGCATCGCATTCTGCAGACCTTTATAAAGACCCAACGCTCCTGTCCACTCCAGCATGTGCTGACAGCCCCTGACATGGTCATGTGACACAGATACACATAGGCTAACACGATTGAAACACACATGGCCTGCCCTAACTGTGCCATAGATGGTCACACACACCTCAACACACATCATTGACAGTCCTCAGACATTATTTGAAAGTCCATTTGTGGGCCAGGCATGGGGGAGCATGCCTTTAATTGCAGCATTATGGACAAAGAGGCAGATAGATCTCTGGAAGTTCCAGGCTAGCCTGGTCTGCATAGTAAGTTTCAGGTTAGCCAGAGCTACACAATGAAAATAAAATAAAATATAGTATTTAGGAAAATATATTTTAGAGGGGGAAATTCATTTTGGGAGCAGCAAGATGACTCAGTAGGTAGAGGAGCTTGCCACCAAGCCTGATGACCTGAGTTCCTACATAGTGGAAGAAGAGAGATGACTCCCACAAATTGTCTTTTGGCCACCACCCTTGCTCTGTAGAACACACACACACACACACACACACACAAAATAAATGTAAAAAAAAATATTAAAAGTAACTTCCCTGATGTGACCTAAATAAGCCTCAACAATATTCAGATTTTTCTCAAAAGGTCCCAGTCATATCTCTGAAAGCCCCTGGTCCCAGACTTCAGACACTCCAAACAGCATAGACACAGCAGGAGAAAAAAAGACTGTTTCTCACAACACCTCAGTCAAGAGCCGGTCAGAAGCCAACATATCCTAATTGTTGGTGGCCTCAGAGAAAACCATTGTCATATAAACCCAGGTGGGAGTCAGAGGCAACCAGGCAGCAGCACACACAGCAGGAAGATGGAGGCCGCCCGAAGGAAGGTACGCCCCAGACAGGAGCCTCTGGGCCACAGGTGAGTCGCACGAGGCAGCGGCAGGGGCGTTTCTGCCACAGCCCTGCCTGCCTGCACTGGGGTCCCTGAGACTCACGGGTATGCAAGCTGGGACCAGCAAGGTGTCTACCTGGAGCCAAGAGCACAGGCTTGATGAAGGCGGGGTGGAATATGCGGACGACGGGCTGGCACGGCCCCACCCACCAGCAGCACACATCCCCGAAGGTTCGCACCAGGTTCTGGATGTACAGGAGCCCTTCCTCCGAGGCCCGGATCTGTGGACGAAGAGGACCCACCTGGTTGGTGTTCGCTTCTCTGGGCTGCCAGAGAGAACAAGCAGGGTAGGGAGCCACAGGGAGTCCCGGGGTCCACTCAGGGCTTCACGCACAATGCTGAGCCCTGCCCGGGTGCCCCCACCCCACCCTCAGTCCTGGGACAGAAGACACATGCTCACTTCAGATCCCAAACACTGTCCTGTGCTTTATTTTTGCTGTGTGCGCATGCTTGTGTGTGCACGCGATCATGTGTGAGAAAGTTGACCTCAGGTACCATCTAACCTGTTTTAGTGGGCAGTCATGTGTTACGGTGAGCACTGTAGCGGTCACAAGGGCAGGAGTTGGTTCTCTCCTTCCAACAGGGTTCCCAGGAATTGAACTCAGACAGCCAGGCGTGGCAGCAAGTGCCTGTACTTAATGAGCCTTCTGTCTCACCAGCCCAGACTTCGTTTTCTTGAGACAGAATCTCTCACTGACCTGAGGCTCACCAATGAGGCTAGGCTGGTGAGCCAGCAAGCTCGGGGAACCTAGCTGTGTGCACGTCCCCAGTGATGACGTCACCTCTGGGAGCCCAGCTGTGCGCGCCTCCCGGTAATGACGTCATCTCTGGGAGCCCAGCTGAGTGCGCCTCCCCAGTGCTGGCCTCATTTCTGGGGACACAGCTGAGTGCGCCTCCCCAGTGCTGGCGTCATCTCTGGGGACACAGCTGAGTGTGCACCTCCCCAGTGATGATATCATCTCTGGGAGCCCAGCTGAGTGTGCACCTCCCCAGTGCTGATGTCACCTCTGGGGACCCAGCTGAGTGCACCTCCCCAGTGCTGACGTCACCTCTGGGGACCCAGCTGAGTGCACCTCCCCAGTGATGATATCATCTCTGGGAGCCCAGCTGAGTGTGCACCTCCCCGGTGCTGACGTCACCTCTGGGGACCCAGTTGTGTGCACCTCCCCGGCGATGACGTCATCTCTGGGAGCCCAGCTGAGCGCACCTCCCCAGTGCTGGCGTCACGCTTGCACACCAAGCGTTTCACTGGCTGAGCCCTCCCCCAGCACCCCAATGTCGTATTAACCTGTGTTCCCTTCCATCCCATCTTCCGCATGGAAACAGTTGCCCACACAGCAAGCGGTGCGTGTGAGGACTGAGCCTGGTGGGCTCCCCAGAGTCGCAGAGACTTAGTGCAGCCCCGGGAAGGCTGCTTATGGGCGCTCCGCGGGCAGGAGCTGTCCTGTGGACCCAATCCCTGAGACTCATCAGCACAGGCATGGCTGTGGGGGTTGTCTCCGTTGTTAAAGACGTTAGAAAGACCCAGTCTTTGAGGGACACCACCTCATGGTCTGATCCTCGTTCTAGTTTTATTCCGTTGCTGTTGGGAAAACCTCCTGACTAAAGGCAACTTTGGGAGGAAAGGCTTGTTTGCCTTACACTTCTAGGTCATAGTTCGTCACTGAGGGAAGTCGAGGCAGAAACAGAACAGGAATCTAGAGGCAGAAACTATAGAGGAACACTGCTCGCTGGCTCACTCTGGCTGGCTCACTGGCCTTTGTCTATCTATCTATCTGATACTGCCCAGGTCCACCTGTGTAGCCCAGCTCTCCTGAATCAGTTAACAATCAGAAAGTACTCCCACAGACACACATCAGACATGTCCATAGGCCAGTCTGATGGAGACAGTTCTTTTTTTTTTTTTTTTTTTTTTTGATTTTTTGGAGGCTGTCCTGGAACTCGCTCTGTAGATCAGGCTGGCCTCGAACTCACAGAGATCCGCCTGCCTCTGCCTCCCAGGTGCTGGGATTAAAGGCGTGCGCCACCAACGCCCGGCTGGAGGCATTTCTTTAAGATTCCTTCTTCCACGGTGTGTCAAGTTAACAATCAAGACTATCCATTACAATATGTGACGTGCGTGTGTGTGTGTGTGCGTGCGCGTGCATGTGTGTGTGTGCATGTGTGTGTGTGAGTGTGTGTGTGTGCGTGTGCGTGCGCGCGTGTGTGTGCACGCGTGTGTGTGCATGTGTGTGTATGTGTGTGTGCATGTGTGTGTATGTGTGTGTGCATGTGTGTGTGCATGTGTGTGTGGGTGCGCGCGTGTGTGTGCGCGCGTGTGTGTGCGTGTGCGTGCGCACGTGTGTGTGCACGCGTGTGTGTGCATGTGTATGTGTATGTGTGTGTGCGTGTGTGTGCATGTGTGTGTGCATGTGTGTGTGTGCATGTGTGTGTGCATGTGTGTGTGCATGTGTGTGTGCATGTGTGTGTGCATGTGTGGGTGTGGGTGCGCGTGTGTGTGTGTGTGTGTGTGTGTGTGTGTGTGTGTGTGAACATGAGTGCAGTACATGCAGAAGCCAGAAGAGGATGTTCGATCCTGGAGCTGAAGTTGTAGGTGGTTGTGAGCCGCCCGCTGTGGGTGCTGCCAGGGCTCTCACCCACTGAGACATCTCTCAATGCCTTGGCTTCTTTCCAGTGTTCCTCACCTCATCAGTCACAACTTGGCCCCAGCTTGCCAAGTGCTCCATTTTTGACCAAACTAGTAATTTTTCTGTATTATTCTACCTGCTCTTTGCTCCTAATTCTCAGTATAAACATATCTAAAAAGCAGATATGCAACAGCGTGAAAAACCTGCTACTTTGAAACTCATTCTGTCAAATAAACTAGTTTGCCAATTTTTTAATATGGCAAGTTTTATTGGGGAAAGGTAAGGGAGTAATGGAAGAGAGAAGGGAGAAAGAGAGAGGAGTGACAGAGACAGAGACTGAGAGGGCTGCCTCCTCAGAGAAATGCCAGAAAAATAGCTGGTTTGCCATTTTGCAGCTGGAGAAATGCTCAGTAATTAAGAGCGCATGTTCTTGCAGAGGATCCAAGTTTGATTCCAGCTCCCATATGGGGCAGCCTGCAATTCCAGCTCCAGGGGATGCAGCACCCTCTTCTGGCCTCTCCAAGCACTGCACACACACACACACACACACACACACACACACATGTGGGGACACCAGACCTTGAGCAGAAACCCACTTCCCCTTTGGCCTGGGAGCATGCAGCTGTGTAATGTTTACTGAAAACAATTCAGTGCTAAAGCTCTTGATAGGGCTCAGATAAGGGCTTGATCACTGAAATACCATGCCTTTCACACCCCCTACAGCTAGATGCCTCTTCCTGTTTCCCTGCTGTGTCTCCCCGATTCTGGGGCCCGGAGATTAAACCACCAGCCAGGAGGGTGAGAAGTCTGGAAAGAATTGTATGTAGATGGATGGCAGAAGTCCTTAAAAGGGGGAAGCATTTTTTCTTAGAGAGACTTCTGAGAGCTCTCTCCTAAGCGGACTGGGGTCTCCTCCTTAGCTGACTTGGGAAGCATAAAGTTTTCTTAAAGCAACCGACCGATCTCTGTGTCATCTATCCCGACCACCTCGCTACATTCTCGGATGCAGGCCGCACAGCAGGTGCGACACACACACACACACGGGCACACACACAAATACAAACACAAATCTTTAAACTGAGCCTCCCACAAAGTCTCAGAGCAGGAACAAAATGTCTGTAAGTTCTTTGCCAGTGTGTCACACAGCAGGTGTGTGTGTGACAGAATTTGCCTGGGAAGATGCAACACCCTATTCATCATGACAGACCAAGAGTAACAATTGCACCAATGAATGTCTGATTTGGCCAACCAATGGGTTTTATTGGGGTTACTAACAGGATTATGGGAAGAGGCTTACTTACGGGGAGCAGGGATCACTCAAAAGCAGCTGCATCACTAGGAAACCCACCCCAGCATGGGTGATTGCACCCCACCCCACAAAAATCATGACAACCCTGGATCTCTCTGCATAGCTTGCAGGCAACTCCACAGTCCAAATACCTTTCTTTGTGCAGTTTGGCTGGTCAGAGTCTCTGTCCAGCAAAGGTTTACCCCTTTTTATACTGTTGGGTTAAGGTCCCCAAGAACCTCCTAAGCTTCTATTCCTCCTGAGGCTCTTGAGTACCCTTTCCCTTCTGGAGCAAATGTTGCAATTTGGAAAGAATGTTGCAATTTGGAGGAAAATTCCTTTTAGCAGGTGGCCTCTATTCCAACTACCAGCATAGTGTTTTTTCCCCATCTAAAGACTCATGAGCACAGTCTTTACCTCATGGGCACAGCTATTACCTCATGGGAGCAGTCATTACCTCATGGGAGCAGTCATTACCTCATGAGAACAGTCATTACCTCATGAGAACAGTCATTACCTCATGAGAGCAGTCATTACCTCATGGGAGCAGTCATTACCTCATGGGAGCAGTCATTACCTCATGAGAACAGTCATTACCTCATGAGCACAGTCATTACCTCATGGGCACAGCCATTACCTCATGGGCACAGCCATTACCTCATGGGAACAGCCATTACCTCATGAGCACAGTCATTACCTCATGGGCACAGTCATTACCTCATGAGCACAGTCATTACCTCATGGGCACAGCCATTACCTCATGGGAACAGCCATTACCTCATGGGAACAGTCATTACCTCATGAGCACAGCCATTACCTCATGGGCACAGCCATTACCTCATGGGAGCAGTCATTACCTCATGGGAGCAGTCATTACCTCATGAGCACAGTCATTACCTCATGGGCACAGTCATTACCTCATGGGCACAGCCATTACCTCATGGGAGCAGTCATTACCTCATGAGCACAGTCATTACCTCATGGGCACAGTCATTACCTCATGGGCACAGCCATTACCTCATGAGAACAGTCATTACCTCGTGGGTACAGTCATTACCTCATGGGAACAGCCATTACCTCATGAGCACAGTCATTACCTCATGGGCACAGTCATTACCTCATGGGCACAGCCATTACCTCATGGGAACAGTCATTACCTCATGGGAACAGTCATTACCTCATGGGCACAGCCATTACCTCATGGGCACAGCCATTACCTCAAGGGCACAGCCATTACTGTCTGAATTCTCATCAGATTCTGGACTCTTTAGTTCCTTCAGAATCACCCATTAATCTCTTAGTTACTTCCATGAACCTGTGAGCAGAGTCCCTGAAAGAACAGATGAAATGCTCAAGGTTTCAGAGCATTCAGTCATTGACGGCTGGGCCCACCCACTTGATGTTTTACCTCATGACAACAGGAGCCTCACACAGACAGGAAGTAAAACGAGATAAGAAAGCACAGAGGACAAGATACCCCCAAGAACCTGTCCCTACTGATCTATGTCTTCCAACTACACCCTGCCTTCTGAAGTTTCCAGAATCTCCAAACTAGTGTCACCAGCTGGGCATCCCTCTGGGGCTCATGAGACTCCAAGGCATGAGGAGTCTGGAAGGTGGAAACACAGGAGATGCCAAAGCCTTATCCCAGTGAGTGGACGTTAGCTCGGAGTCCCCCTAAGTCTCTCGACACCATGATGTCCACCCTGGCTTTGAAATGTGGATTTTCTCATCCTGGGAGCAGTTCCCACATCAGAGACCACAATAGGGAACTCTCATGGGCATGGCGGTGGTAATGTGGTCTTAGGATTTGTTGATGTCCCCGCTTCTCCCTCTCCCTGGGTCCTGGGCAACCTGGCCCTGTTCCTGCTCCAGACTCCTCTCCTCCCGCCCCGTCGTTGCTCCTCAGCACCCGCCTGTCACTCGGCATCACCCCTCTCCTGGGCCTGGGCCTCCTCCTTAGGGAACCTTTCCTGGTGGGGGGCCTCTCTAATCCTCGGGCTCTCTCCCTGCCCTGGGATCGCTCTTCTCCAGGCGACCTTCCCTCGACCCAGGATCCACCCTTGACAGGTGGTCTCTCATCACTGCCAGCTCAAAGGCTGTCAAGGTTGCATGGCTGTGTCATGCATGGCGCTTTTCCTCTAGGCCCAACAGGATGTCATTTTCAATGTTTCCTGGTAGTCATGGCAACTGCAGCAGAAAACTAGGACAGTAAGCAAGCCAACGGTAACGGTGATGGAGTTGTTAGACTCCAGAGTGAGGGTCAGGAGGCCCTTTTCTGGCACTCCAGCTGGGACTCTTCTCCCCCAGCAGCAAGTCATCTTGGGATATGCTAGAGTATAAAGCAAAAGGTTTTTTTTCTTTTTAATCAGGACTCTATGGTGCAGCTTCCATGAAGTTGTCACCCAGGATGGGTGTGTCCTCATAATGATACAGCTGTTTGGGGGTCACCCAGGATGGGTGTGTCCTCATAATGATACAGCTGTTTGGGGGTCACCCAGGATGGGTGTGTCCTCATAATGATACAGCTGTTTGGGGGTCACCCATGAGCCTATAAGAAACCCTTCTCCTGTTCTCTGTGAAAAACACCTAATAGCTGGGCAGTGGTGGTGCTTGTCTTTAATTCCAGCACTCAGGAGGCAGAGGCAGGCGGATCTCTGTGAGTTGGAGACCAGCCTGGTCTACAAGAGCTAGTTCCAGGACAACAGCCTCCAAAGCCACAGAGAAAGCCTGTCTCAAAAAACCCAAACCAAACCAAAACAACAACAACAGCAACAAAACACCTAATAACCCCATTGTTCTCACTGAGCTGGACACAGGTGAACTTGCTACTCGGATGCCTCCTGGGGTGAATGCACACTTGCTCACATCTACCCGGGAAAAGTTAGCATGGCACCCCTGCAGCCTCTGGCTCTTCCTGAGAGGAAGGGCTACATCTGGGGGACCTGTAGCCTTGGCAGACTCCCAGGGAGCAGAGGTGACCCCTAGGTCTCCATCAGGGTGGAGCTGGACACCAGCTCGAGGAGAGCAGCCTGTGGTCCAGCTGACCCTCTGCCCCCCTGGCACCGTGCCATTTACAAGGAAAACAAGTGTCACCAAATCGCACAGAGGGAGAAACAGATTTAAGTCTATGTTCGAGGTGTGGCGTGGATGAGGGTTCTGGGTAGGCGTCTGAAAGGGGAAGCGAGTGGCCAGCTCGCATCTAGATTGAGCAACAGGGCTCACTGGTACATCTCAGCGGAGAAGCCAGACATAAGAGGAAGATGTTCGGGGGCCGGGGGGTGGGAAATCAGACCCTAGAGATCTCCTAGGCCAGCTACACCCCTGGGTGTGCCTGGGGGGACTGCAGCTCATTTCTGTAACCGGAAGGAGACAAGAGATGGCTGAAAAGATTTGATAGAGGCAGGGGACGGGCTTCAAGGCCAGCACAGAGAGCCTGAGAACACCGTGGTCCTCAGCCGTGTTAGGAGCCTGCAGCAGGGACGTCTGTGGGGAAGACACCGGGAATGGATGCAAGACCCAGGTGGAAAGGGCTCAGGACAGCGCATCCGTGGAATGGCGTCATTCTGCCGCCCTAGACCCCAGCCCACCCCTGTCCCCAGATCCCTGAGCCCCATCCCAGGCTTCTCACAATTCCTTCTACTCCGAAGCCCCACGTCACCCTCACGACCACACTCACCAGGCCCAGGTGACCCAGGAGCCAGTTCCGTTTGGGGGGCTGAGGGAAACAGCGAAGGTGATGAGAGTTTTCGTAGATAGCGTAAACCTGGGTCAGGATGTAAGCCAGGAGGCAGGAGGCCCCCGCCAGGGGTAGGAACAGCCACAGGGAAGCTGCTGCAGGCCCCAGGCCCGGCCAGGACAGGCTCAGCAGCGGCATCCTGCAGGGAAAATCAACACCTGATGCTGACTTCCTGTCCTGCCCCAGCCTGGCACAGCCCCTCCCGCCCCCCGGGCCAGGGCCCCTCAGGCCAGTACCTTCTCTCAGAAGCACTGAGTCCCCGGGTCCTTCTCTGGCTTCTGACCAGGGATGGAGAGAGGAGTCTGGGCTGGGCCAGCCCATCCCTTGCAGGCACAGCGGCCCCCTCCTGCCTGGGTAGGTGGCCAACATATGGGGGAGGAGCCAGCCGGGAGCACAGAGGAACCACCAATCAGGACCCCATACTCTGGGTCACACAGATGAGTACTGAGTCCTCGGGACTTCATACCTCTTGTGTGAGGGCTTTGGAGGAAGCAGTGGGCAGATAAATGGAGATAGAGCCCCAAAGAGAGGGTGTGAGGAAACAGGCTGGCCTCCACTGTGGGGCTTGTGAGCTAGGACTCTGCTCCGTGTAAGAGTGTGAAGAAAATCCTCCCACAGTTCCTTGGGTATGCAAGTTCCACAGAAGGCATGTGAGGGCATGTCCACTGACCTTACGGGAACAAGGTAGGTGCCTTCACCCACATACAAAGGAATGTGCACACACACAAACACACACTCACGCATGCACACACATACACAGGCACATTAAAACAAAACAAAGCAGACATGTCTGGGGAGATGGTTCCATGGGTAAGAGTGCTCCCTCACTGAGCATGAGGTCCTGCCTGAGTCTGAGTCCCCAGCGCCTCTGGAAAAACCTGGGCATGGACCAGTGAGATGGTGGAGTACGGACAGCCACTTGCCCCCAAGCCTGATGACCTAGGAAGGTGAGAACGAATTCCCACGAGCTGCCTTCTGACCTCCACGCACACTTGCACAAATAAATAAACAGTTAAAATTTTAAGTGGAAAGCAAATGCAGGCATGGCCACATGTGCCTGTAACCCCAGCATCAGGGCATAAAGGCAGATGGATCCTCCAGGCCAGTGTAGCCCATCTGAAGAACTCAAACAGGGGGTGGAAGGCTCCTGAGAAGCAGTAACACCCGAGCTTGTCCCCTGACGTCCAAACACATGCACGCACGTGCACACGCATCTGCACACACATACAAACGCATGCACACGCGCGCACACACAAGATGGTACATGCAGCAATTCTCCTACCTCGGGCTCCTGAGTGCTGGGATTACAGTCGTGTGTGTGTGTGTGTGTGTGTGTGTGTGTGTGTGTGTGTGTGTGTGTGTGTGTGGCACCACGTGTGGCTCCTGGGGTCCCTTTAGACTCTCATGAATGCTACCTGCTGGGGAGAACCTCACCCTTCCCTTCCTTGGCAGTCAGAAAGAGAAAAGTTCAAATTCATTGGAGCTGAGTCCAAGCTGGCTGTGAAAACTCAAGCAAACAGCTTGTCTCCCTTTAGAATGGAGGGGTGAGGTGACACTCCCTTCCGTGAGCTACCTGAGCACCTACAGAATCCCTGCCCTACTGCTTTGGACTCAGGAAGCAGAATCATAAGGTGTATAAGGTCTCCGTCATCACGGTGCACATGTCTGATGGGGGTCGCCAACAGGTAACAGGTTCAAGACAGACAGTGGGAGCTTGGGAAGGGCTTAGCAGAGCTGGGAGGATGAAGGACTCAGTGATCAGGAGGCCCGGCAGGTGACCCCAGAGCCTGAGTGACACGGAGGAGTGCATGGGGCAGCAGGCCGACTGCCTGAAACACACCTGCCTTCTGCACACTCCCCCGCAGAGCTGAGGTAAGCGATGTGCAGCAACTTCCCCTCTGCTGGTGGGGTAAGGAGAAGAGGCCACACCGAAAACTGTTCTGCAATGCTGGCACTGGCCCAGGCTGAGGCCAGAAACGCTTGCTGCATCCCACCCGGGGGTGAGGTCTGAGGTCCAGCAGCCAAGAGGCCAGTCGAGGGCCAGAGGTGCCAGGGACTCAAGGAGTCCCTCACCAGCCTTTTTGTTGCCTTTTCTGCATAAATTATAAAATCATTGTCTAGGGCTGACAAGATGGCCCAGTGATAAAAGCACTTGCCACCAAACCTGATGACCTGAGACCAATCCCTGAGACCCACATGGTGAAAGAAAGAATCGACTCCCACCATTGTCCTCTGACCTCCACATTTGTGATATGGCACATGTGTGTACACACATGCATGCATACATATAATCTTTTTTTTTTTTTTTTTGGTTTTTCGAGACAGGGTTTCTCTGTGGCTGTGGAGGCTGTCCTGGAACTCTCTCTGTAGACCAGGCTGCCCTAGAACTCACAGAGATCCGTCTGCCTCTGCCACCCGAGTGCTGGGATTAAAGGGGTGCACACCACTGCCCGGCTCTTTGTGTGTTTTTACTTGATGATTATGCTTTTTTTCTCCTCTATTCTGTTAACATTATTCTTTTTTAATATTATCTTTCAGACTGAGTCTTAATATCCAAGAAATGAGCTTCCTCAGGACTCAAGTGTGATCCTGCAGAGATAACAGACAGGGCTGCCGAGTGAAGACTCAGACTGAAGTCCCAGGCCTCCCACTGGGAAATGAGCCAGACTGGTCCACCCTGGACTCCCAAAGCCTGCACAGTCCTTACCCATTGCCCGCAGATGTTACTGGCTTGCAACCTACGTCTGCTGTTAAGAGTGCTGCAACAAGGGGCCTACTTATGGCAACTCACAAGAAGACAACAGTCATGGTTTCATAGTGTCCAGCCTCACAGCTGGGCACCACTGGACCTCAACCCAGAGGCAACCATCCTGTCTGGACAGCTCAAGTAAGGGCACGATCACAGGCAAGTGTCACCAGGCAGGACAGCCATTCGCTATTCTGCTGTACAGTTCAGAAGGACTGACCCTGAACAGTCTACGGAGGCTTTTTATTTCTGTGTTTTTCATCTCTAGAAAAAGAACCCCGGGACGTTCCCTCCTGTGTGTTTTGTCTTGCTTCTTCATGGTCCGTGATGCCCGCTGAGGCTGTCTGTACAACAAAGCCAAGCTGACGGGGTGGGAGCAGGTTGCTCTGCCATTTCCTAGGTCTCTGAGCTGCACGTCGAATCGAGGACTGATCGCTCCACACTTGTTCAAGCTGCCTGTGAGGTCCACGACAATTGTCCCGGCTCTGTGGTCATCGATGACTTCAAATTCACCAACGTAACCACGCTTCATGATCACAGTTAGGAACCGAACGATGACATTGGAGCAGGGCCTGATGAGCACCTGGCGTTGGCCTCTCTCCTCAGCATCGTTGCCGCTCTTCAGAGCGTCAGCCAGGACACGCCATGGTGACACGGAAAGATGGCGGGAAGCCCTGCTAACACTATAAATCATATTGGTTGGTTTCTTTTAAACTTTTTGTTTGTTTGTTTGTTTTTTGGTTTTTCGAGACAGGGTTTCTCTGTGGCTTTGGAGGCTGTCCTGGAACTCGCTCTGTAGACCAGGCTGGCCTCGAACTCACAGAGATCCGCCTGTCTCTGCCTCCCGAGTGCTGGGATTAAAGGCGTGCGCCACCACCGCCCGGCTCTTTTAAACTTTTTTATTGTACTTTTTTTTTTTTTTAACCATGCGGGACCTGCGCAAGAGAAGTCAGACAGCAGCATTCAGGGGTCTGTTATCTCCTCACCACTGGGTCCCAGGGATCAAACTCAGGTCATCGGTCTTGGTGGCAAGTGCCTTTAGCTGTTGAGCGGTCTCACCAGTCCAGATTAGCTGGTTTCTGAACAATAAGATTGTCTGGAATAAGTCAGGATATATCACCTCTTTGAAATTTACTGGGTTCCCTCTGCTAATGTTTTGTTTATAATTTTTGCACATTTTTCTTTTTTATTTCTGCTGCTGGGTTATTGTTTTTGAGACAGAGTCTCATAAATTCCAGAGAGCCTTGATTGAACTCCTGTATCTCTTGTCTCAGCTTCACAAATTCCAGCATGCCCCCCACCCGCACCCACAGCTGGCTGAGTTTGTTTCTGACTGTTATGGAGATGGGTCTGTGGTTTCTCATGGTATTCATCTTGGTGTCAAACTTGTTGCAGGGCTGCCGGGATGAATGAAGAAGTCTTCCATCCATCTCTCTCTCCACGCTTTAATATGTGTGTCACTCCCCACCTGAAGAGCTGGTGGCAGTTACATCTGCTGGAGAGGGGAGGGACACTTTCTTCAGCAGTGTGGCGTATGCCCGTGTTCCTGTAAGCAACTCTAAAATGACTCACTGGTTTTTCAAAAGCCAAAAGTGGGGTTAGCTGGAAAGAGGAAGGAAGATCATTGGAAGTGGGAGGGGACAAGAGAGGGGACAGGGTCAGGGAGATGGCTCAGTTGATAAGGTTGCCACCAAGCCAGACAAGCTGAACTTGCTCCCTGAAACTCACTCAATGAAAGAGAAGGTAACAGAGGTAAATATGATCAGATACATTACATATGTGTACAAATATGTCATAATAAAACACATTGTTACATGTAATTAATATATACTGACAAAAATCTTTTCAAAAACTAAGCCGGGGCTGGAGAGGTGGCTCAGTTGTTAAGAGCACTGACTGCTCTGGCAGACAACGCCAATTTAGTCCCCAGCACTCAGATTACATGTAATGGTCACAGCCATCTCTAACTCCAGTTCCAAAGGATCCAGCACCCTCCTCTGGACTACACACACACACACACACACACACACACACACACACACACACACACACGTCTCCTCTTTCCCATAAATTAACTCAACAAGGAACCTGTATGATCCTAGGGTTCTCATTTTGTAGGGATATTTTTAGTAGCAGGCTTATTATAGTTCATGTATTTGTGATCATTTTTTGTTTCCTTTGTACATGATTCTAAAATGCCTTTAATATACTTCTGTCTATGGGCCAGTAAAGTGGCTCAGAGTGTAAACATGCTTGTTGTGAAGCTGGCAACTCGAGCTCAACCCCTAATGGTAGGAGGAAAGAATGCCTCCCAGAGGTTCCTCTGACTCGCACACATGCTGTGATACATATACACATGCACACATACACACGCACACGTCAGTTAATGTAAACAGAATCTTTAAGCTTTAAATACATGTATTTACACATACATATGTCTGTTTGTACATTTATTGTTCCACTTTGGAAAAGTTGGCTACATTCAGAATTTTTCCATTGCAGAAGCTGGAGTGATGGCTCAGCAGCTGAGATTGGCTGTTCCTGGAGAAGACCTGAGCCTGAGCCTCAGCACCCGAATCAGGTGACTGACCGCCACCTCCATCTCCAGTCCCAGAAGATCTGATGTCCTCTGTGGCCTCTGACGGAGCCTGTACATGGGTGCCAAATACTCATGAGACATAGTCATGCGCACATACATAAAAATA